CACAGATGAACCACGCTCACCCCAGACCCCTGACAAAAATCCGACAGCATGAATTGGAGAACAATAATTTATGTTATTTTATTGGTGAGCCTGACTGTAGTCAAAGCCCTGCCTAGAAGTTATCGGGACATGGGTAAGAATGCATCTCTCAGTTTTGCTCTGTTCTTTTGCATAATACTGGTGGCTGCAGCTTCGCACGCGTGGTTATTCAGTGTCTCGCTTTGCCACTGCCTGTTCTACACGGGCACCTTCTTAGGGGTCAGAGGCAGACAACAGAAGGGTATCTACACAATTTGTGATCAACCTGTGTCGCTCCGTTAATGGCTTGAGAATCTGCACGGCGTGCAGGACAGCCAGTGGTGACTGAGAGGAAGTCTAGTGGGGGGTAATTTAACCCACGGGGACGGGGTTGCGCTACTGACTAGGGACTGCAAAACCTGCTGAAGTAAAACCTGTGGCTGTTCCAGTCTCCCTCCATAGTCGGTGAGGAAGCAAGACAGAGAATTCCGGAGAGGGCTGCCATCTCCGGGTGGCTATTCGCAGTAGTCTGGTTACGCTACTGCTCTGGATTATCCTTTGGAAGGGGCTTACTTTCTCTTCACCAGTGGCTGAAGGAGCCTATAATGACCACACTCCTCACTGAGGTGAAGTGCCTAGAACGAGACAACTGAAAACTTCCAACAGGGTGGGGTTCAGATGTTTCTTTTGCATTACCTATTGTTATCATTAATCAGGTCTTAGTTTTACATCTTTATGACTTCCAGATGCAATAATCGGCCTAACACTGTAAAACGGAACCTCTGTTTCTGTCATTTGACTCATGTTATCATCAGCTGACACCCCCACATTATTCAGAGGAAGAAGCTGTCTTCTTTCTTTGATCTGTTTGATCCTTTTACCCTGATCTCAGCCCTACCAACACGAGGGTGAGACAGCAACATCTTGACTTGGGAACAGGCCCCTTACTTTAAAACTAATCTCTCATAATATTCTCTGACAAAGAAGGAACTCATTAAATGATTGCATCTGGGTTTGCCCGTTAATGAAGGCCCAGTGGCAAAGGAAAAATATTTGTACAGGATCTTCACATAGATTGAACATAGTTGTTTTGCTCTGGCACAGTTCACAACATGGACAGAAGGATGCTGCTCTGTGATAGAGCTTTGCCTACCAACATAGTCCTCAACTTATCCCATGTTTTCAGTACAGAAAATCCTTCATCTGTAGCTAAAGAGTGGTCAAGTACACCTCTAAATAGCTAAAGCCAGGTTAAAAGGTGTTTTGGAAGGTGCTTATTTCTCATGTGAAGTGCATCATCGAAGTAGCTGAAGGCCCTCCAGGTCTGAGCCTATTCCTCCCCACAACACCTGAGCTAGGCAGGGAAATGAGACTGGCCCTATTATATTGTAGGTCAGAAACAAAGAGCTTCACATCCTCATACTTAAGTGAAATACAGTCTTACGCCCTCCCACTCCCAGTGCTAGTACCCAGGCACCAAATTATCTTTCTCACTATCAAAAAAAAGAAGGTATTTGATGAAGCATTTAGTAAATGAGGTTTTTTAACTCAAATTACCTTGTTTTTCAGAGGAAAAAAACAGCATTGGTCAACGTTTTTCTCAGCTGCAGGAGAACAATTTTAAAGCCATGTAAGTTGTCCAGGTAAAGCTTCTATTTGCAAAGTTTCTGCTACTGAACATCCTGGTGTCAGTTGGAAATGAACAGGCACCGTGAGCCAAACTCTCGCCTGCTTTGCCAGCCCACACCAACTCAGCCCGGGGTGACATGATGCTCTCCCTGTCTTGCACGTATATAATTAGTTTTTTAGGTATCCACGATCCTCTCCCCGTCTTGCACGTAAAAGTTATATAATTAGTTTTTTAGGTATCCAGCAACAGGTTTAATGCCGTGTGTTCTTCTCCAGCGCCATGATCATGTTTGCTCAGTACGTGCAAGGAGGCACGTTTGGCAAAGCCGTTAAAATGGTGGAAGATGTCACAGACCTTGCCAAAAGGTGTGCTGCCGCAGCCAGAGACAGCCCGGATTGCCTGAAGCCTTTGGTAAGCACATTTGTGCTTCTCACGTGGCAAATGTTTGGCCTTCTTGACTCTCTCTCCAGGCTCCCATCTATAAACCATCTCAGGCTAAGTGGAGGAGAACAAAGCCTCTCTCCTCCCCCCACCCCAAATAGCACAGCATCTTTTGAAATCCTTGACCTGTCTCTTTCTGAAAGATGTTCAGCAAGTTGTGCTTTTATGGCTGGTGTAACAAAATTCAGAAGCCAAATTAGATATTTCTAGCAAATATGATGTTTATAGGCATTTCCTGCTCTCCATCAACTCACGTTCCTGGTTTTTGATGGTGTCTGCTCAAACATGCTTTTGGAGCTGGCAGAGTGAATCCTAAAACACCAGTGTCATGTGTGCTGCGGCTCACTTCTGATTTGTTAGACACGCTGACACAAACCCTGAATGAAAACAGTTCCCAGCTGAGGCGTGACTGACAGCTGGACTTGAGCACTGCTACCTGGTGAACAAGGAACAAGACACCTTCCATTGCATGAACCTGACGGAATGAGTCTGTGAAACACAGACCCTGCTAGGCTGCAACCCACAGTATGCAAACCGAACTAGTGCCTCGACTGTCATCACAAAAAAGGGTCTGAATGATGCTGTAAGTAATGAAATCCACGTCTGTCTTGGCCTAACAGTAGGTATCGGGGTCTGAGAAATCATCCCTTACAGGTTTTGGAGGTCAGTCGGGTTTTCACTGCAGTCAAAGCTGGAGGTAGAAGAGAAACCGTGAGTTTATGCAAGTCAGGGCTTGCTGGCTTAAATGAGCCTCCTCAGGGAGTGCACTGGAGTAACATGGAATCCTCCCACAGATTAATTTTTTTTTTCTAATTTTTCACAGGACAGGATTTTCCTTGATACAATATGCCAGGAGGAAAACCTTCCCAGGTTTACGGATTGCTGCGCTAAAAAGGATCCTGAAAGAAATGACTGCTTCCTCTCCCTTAAAAATTCATCCAGAGGGTTAATTTCTCCTTTTGAAAGGCCAGATGCTGAAGCTGCCTGCAAAAATCATTCCCAGCATCCACATGCAGTAACAGGATAGTAAGTATAGATCATAGATTCATTGCCTAGATGTGACGGTTATGAGCCTAGAGACAGCAAATGCAGTATCAAGCAGAAAGTTCAGCCTAAGTTTCTCTGTTTTTCTTCCTAATGTGAATTATTTGCATATTTCATCCAGCGGTAACTGTTGTTGTGCAAAGCCTGTTCTGTCACCTCCCGCCTTGGATATAGGTCCAAATGACAATCAATCCAGCCCATAGTATTGTATACTCTGTGTAAAAGACTCCTCTGGAACCAAGGGCCTCCCTTTAGTCCTTAAAAGCCCAGCAGATGTTTTCCTGCCTCTAAGACAGAACTGGCAGGGTTTGAGACTTCAATTTCCAGGAAAATGTCAGCCCCGTCAGGATTTTTCCAACTCCGCACTATACAGCTTGTCCTTACAACAGAACAACTACTCGTAGTAGCTCTCATTGTAATACCTGGCGGGTGCTGCCCCCTGCATGCACGGGCTTACTCCGAAACCAAAGGCATTTCTCTCCCGGTTTCAGTTTTATCTATGAGGTTTCCCGGAGGCATCCTTTCCTCTATGCCCCAACAATCCTTTCTGTCGCCATCCGGCATGAGGAGATGATGAAGAACTGCTGCAGAAGTGCTGGAGACCCCACTCATAACCCGGAGGAATGCTTTCGGAGACAGGTATGCCACAGAGGGTTTTGGGTTTATTCATGTGCAGCCGGGGACTCTCTTATAGCTGAACAAATACCGAAGCACAGATACCAGCCATTTCTTTTGCAGCATCTGAGCCTGATCTTAGAATTCAATCCCACTGACATCAGGTGAAATCAGACTTAAATGCTCTCTTGGACTGTAGCCTGAACTCCTGAATGAAAATGCTGACTGTGGGGTGTCAGGCAGATTTAGCTGTACAGGGAGCCCAAGGCAGACTCCACGCCCCATGACAGCATCATCGCCCACCCCAACGCTGCTACAGGCACCAGGTTTGTCCTAAGGCTGCCGAGAGAGGACGTGGTGCTGTGCACAGGGCAGAAATCTGATTTTGTTGTCCCGTCGAGAGCCCCCATGACACAGCTGACTGTCCGAGCGTTCGCCAGACAGAAATTCAGAGCACGTGACCAGTGCAGAAATTCAGAGCAAACTACCTGTAATGCTGGAAAATAAGCACGGACAGCCTGCTCCCGCTGAATACGCCTTTCGTGCAGCTTGGCTGGGCCACAGGTGATGGTACAGTTTGACGTGACCTCACAGCAGTGCAAATCCTGTCACGTAGCTCCTAGGTGACCATTTCTTCCCCGCTGTTAAAAACACTGAACTTTTGGCTAAAAGGGCTCTGGCTTTTCCCAGAACAGTGCTGGTGACTAAGTAGCAAGCACAACACTTAGTTCATATGGCAGCTTGGACAGCAATTTTCTTCCACTATTAAAAAAAATCTCCCTTTAAAAAACTGTCACCACAGTAGTTTTCAGTGTAAAGCATTGTCTTTCCTTGTCTTCCTCTTTCACAGTCTGCATCTTCTTTCCACCAGGCACCAAAAGTGGTGAAGCCAGTAAAAGAAGATGGCCTGAGGCAGGAACACACATGTGGGATCTTGAAGAAGTTTGGAGAAAGGACCTTAAAGGCTCTGTGAGTGTTCCTTTGCTGCGGGTGGCTCCACGGCTGCACGCAGTACAGTCACCCCGAATGCCGGCCGCGTCCGTTCCATGTGCCGGTCACTAGTAGCATCCTACGAGACATACGGATTAGGAATGAAAGCTGAGGCTTGGCAGCAGACTGATTGCAAACTGCCACTGGATTTCACAGTCTAAACCCAAAGTGTGACAGGAACGCATCTCTCCGTGATGAAAGTTAGAGTGAGCAAAACACAGCGCATCTCTTCTAACCATTTCTGACACCAGGTTGCTCCTGTAACTTCATGCTCACCTGCCACATTCCCTTCCACCATCCCACACTGAAATTCCCCTAGGATCCTTAGATAACTGAAAACCTCAGCTATTGGCTTCAAGGGACTTTAATTTTAATTTCAGTGGGAGCAGGGAAAGACCATTCCTGAGCAGTTTGTTTACCTCCTCCACAGAAAAACCATGATAGCTGTCGCAGTCTCACGCTGTGAATATAAACAATAACTGTTCTTCTCTGTTGTAGGAAACTTGCTCAGATAAGCCAAAAATTCCCTAAAGCTGACTTTGTTACCGTTAACAAACTTGTGCTGGATATTGCTCAGATGCACAAGGACTGCTGCCGTGGCGATATGCTGGACTGTATGCACGATAGGGTAAAACTCATTTAACATTTATATGGTTGCAGAAATTGAATGCTTTTTTTTGGTTTTCTTTTCAGATACTTTTTTCTCCTGCGCTTTGCTGACTGCTTTCCAAAACTGGAGTTTAGGTCTTCCATTTCAAAACCTGGTTGATCTTCCCATCTGACTGTCCCTGCTGTGAAGTCATCAGCAAGGGCAGAAAGATCGCTTGTAACTAAAATGGCCCAGCACTGTTTCAGCAGATTTGGTCGCAGCTCCGAGCTGCACCACGTGTTTTCTGCCCAGCTTTCATCAGAACACGTCTGCCCATCCCCTGTTCTCTGCCTTCTTCTGACATGCCAGACCCATTTATCTCACCGCTTGTCCGTGGTCTCTAGCTGGACAGCCGGCATTGGGTTTAGGTGGTCACCTGGTAGCACCCACCAAAGGGCAAGCAAGGAACTGCTGCAAATAGGTCAACAGGACTTCAACCTTCTCCCTTGTTCTGCCAGACAAGCCACCTCTTCTCTTTGGGAGTCACCTTCTCGGGCTGTAAAACGGAGCTAAAAACACTGATTGAGAAACAAAAGACCAAGAAAAAAGACCTTTTTTTTCTTTACAGGAAGAGATTCTACACTACGTCTGCACCAACCAGGACATCATATCCAGTAAAATTAAGAAGTGCTGTGAAAAGCCTCTGTTACAACGAAGTGAATGCATAATTAATGCAGAAAACGATGACAAACCTGCAGACCTGTCACCCCACGTCAGGGAATTTATAGAGGACAAAGGAGTGTGTGAACGTTTTGCCCAGGAAAAAGATACACACTTAGCCAGGTAATGTGGGCCTTCCTCTACTCCACTATTTTGCTGTTTCAATTCTTGGGTCAAAAGATGACCATTTGGACGTTAAAGTCCAGCTCATCAGCCTCAGATTTGTCTGCTCTGTGAGCCCAAGGCATGGGATCCTATGCAAGTTGGTCTGAGCAAAACATGGCTCAACCCTAGAAGGTATGGAATGGGAACAAAGGCAGGATAGGGCACGATTGTCCTCAAACAAAACCATTCCAAACACTCCCCTGCTGTCCTTACCATCCTGACCTTTACCAGGGCAGTTGTTTTGGCTTATCTCTAATTCCTGGTACTCCACATATTGCAGGTTTCTGTATGAATATTCCAGGAGACACCCCGAATTTTCTGCTCAAATGCTTTTAAGAATTGGTAAAGGATATGAAGACCTGCTGAAAGAGTGCTGCAAACCCGGCGCTCCAGGCGACTGCTGCCGCAGAGGGGTGGGTGCCGTCAGGCTTCACGCAACACGCAGGCAGATTCAAGCACACGACCACGTGACTGGTTCTGGCCAAATACCGACTGTCCCTGCTCCAGGTCTAGAGTGAGGACCCACAGCTCCTGTAACAAACCCAGTAAATACTATGATGCCCAACCGATTCCCATATGGAAAAGCACCAGCAGAGCTTTCGCAATCTTCAGTTGCAAAACTGAACTCCCCGAGACGCTGGGGAAAGGGATGGAGCCAACATCTCTGTGAGCTCTGCTCTCGCTGGGTCTCCCTAGCAGTGCCAGTTGCCCACTTGTAAATGCAAAAGGCGGTTACGGTTACTCTCTCAGATAAAGACACGGGTGTTGTGACTACCTGGTTAGGAGTCACCCTGCCTTTCTCACCCAGCTGTCCACCGGGGATAAAACATTAAATATTTCAAGGTGACTGAGCTGATTTCCCACTTCCAAGCAGTTTATAGAGGTTTCAGGCAGACGAGAACTTTGTAACGGAATTATGAATGGGTGGTATGTATCAGGTGAGAGGCAGCTGTACATACCAAGGCCTTACCACAAGGCAATAGAGCACTCTGCATTGCCCCCATATAATGACTCCTCAAATTAATTAAATTTTTTTTTTCAGGAGGAAGAACTGAAGAAACATATTTATGAAACAGAAACTGTCATGAAGACAAGCTGTGACATTTACAAGGAGAAAGGAGATTACTATTTCCAAAACGAGTATTACTTTTCTCTTTGCTTATGTTACTCCTGCACCAGCCAGGCACAACTGTGGCTGGAGTAAAGCCCCACATGTCAAAAAAGCTAGGCTAAAAGACACCATTTCAGTATCTGGACCAATATATTAATGGCTTCTAGGATATTTTTTTTACCTTTTCCAAGACAAAGTTCCAGCCGCTCATGCGTTCTCCCCTTAACCCAACTCATGAAGCAGTGAAGTGACCACTCAATCAATCTCCAGTCCGTGTTTCCTATGATGTTCTTGCTTCATAGCTGCATTTTGAGCTGTGAGCTGTAACTCAAGGGCCATACATTTGGCCAAAAGACAGGTGCTGTGTCTTTTGCAAAAGACGTGTCTCCATCCAGCTCCTGCAGCAGATGTGAGCATTAGCAATTGCAACAAAAATCTCACTACGGTAGGCAGGGCAAAACCCGAGTAGCTGAACCACATGCTACACTTAAATGAAACATGCAGGCACAAGCCTCCTCGGGGAACTTTGGCTCTGATTTGCAATGTTAATGAGCACGTGCTTAACTTAACGTACAGGATCTCAGTGAAACCTCTAAACTGCTTACATACTTGCAGTTAGGCTTCTGCTAGCCTGCTTTGGGGAGATACCTCGGGCTTTTTGCACTCCCCAGCGTTTCTGATCTTTAAAAGACCTTTGGGACTCGAGGTTTCCAACAAACCTGGAGGGTGGCTTCTGCCTGCTCTACCTGTTGTTAAGGTTTTTCTGGCCACGATGGTTAATAAGCACAATTTTTTTAAAAAAGAAAAACAAAGTGAACTTTTTCGAGCCTATCTTCTGCCTTCATGTAGTCTGCCAAGAAGTCGCTCGAGTTCAGTTTTGCTCTCAGACAAGCTCCCAACACTCCCAGGGAAACAAGTAACACAACAAAACCACATGGCCCACCAACGCACAACCGTCAGCGTTACCCTTAACTGTGTTTAGCCTGGTAAGAGCCTGCTGGGAAAAAGGAGAGCGCTCCAACAAACAGCACGCTTACACTTGCCCCCGTGAGTTTATAAAAACCAGGTGTAGTCCTGCTCTTGTGCTAATGAGAGATCCGTGGGGTTTGGCTGGAGCTTTACACAGGCGAAGGCAGTGACTGGCTCACTGCTGCCCGGTGCAGCAAACCCACCAATATCGATAATTATCATTTCAGGCTTCTCATGAGCTTCACCAAGAAGATGCCTCAGCTGACATCTGCAGAGCTGATAAAATTCACCAAGCAAATGACTACAATTGGCTCCAAATGCTGCCAGTTAAGCCAGGACAAGCTACTGCCTTGTGCCGAGGAAAACGTGAGTATTTCCCTTCTGTACCTTGGTCTGGCTTTTTCCTGAAACTCTTCCATAAATTGTGCTGCCAGCAGGGTCCAGCCAATCCTCCAGCCGCCTGTTTGCACGACATCACCTTTACAAAAGCAGCCCAACCAACCCACAGAAATCCTGCTGATGAAAACAAATCAAACGCAAGCGTGGTTTTATGAAGAAATCACATCATTTCAATGTGAAGGGGCAGTCCCTAAAACCGCATATACATATTTATTCTGAAAAAGCTGAGCCTTCTCTGCACTTGCAAAAGTCAGCATTCAGTGGTCATATAAACTGTTATCTACCTTACAAACAAGGTTTAATTTAAATTCTCAGTTATTTCTTATAGTTTTACTAAGAGCAGTGCAGATTTCAGGGATTTTTGAAAATGAAAAAATAACGTAAAATTGGTTTTTTCACCTCTCTTGGTAAAGTTGGATCTCGTGCTTGGAGAAATATGTAGAAGACACCTGAGCGACCCTATCAACCCCGGAGTTTGCCACTGCTGTAGCAGCTCCTACGCTCTTCGGAGGCCATGCATGGGGAAACTGGAAATTGATGAGAATTATGTGCCCTTATCGCTGACTCCTGGACTGTTCACTTTCCATGAAGACTTGTGTACAACCGAAGAGGAAAAGCTACAGCACAAGAAGCAGGAGTAAGACTACTTTTTTACTCTGGCACCCCTGTCTTTCTTATCCTTATCCTGTCAATGCTCACCTTGTCCTTGTTCTGTAATCCACCAACAATGCTCACCTTTCCCTTGTCCTTGTTCTGTAATCCACCATGGAAAACCAGCCATGCACCCCTCCACCAAACTCCTTTCCTTTCCTCTCATGCTAGTCCCAGGTTTTTCTTCTATCTGGTTCAATCTGTATTCACCTGCCTTACGTGAGGACAAAGTCATTTTCAGAGGCAGGTGGCTGCCCTGGTATATACACCACCAGAATGGAAGTAATGGGTGTCCAAAGTGAGTTCGGATAATCACGCCCTCCCACCGTCCTTTAAAGGAACTGCACAAGGCACAGCACAAAAAGGCACCAGAAGAACAGGGAAGTTCTGCCTGAAGTCCTGCGGGACTTTTACGGCTTAATTAGGGCTCATTTCCCAGAAAAGGAAAGCCTATGCATTTCTCCTTATCCCATGCGCTCCTTCAGTCTCTGAAAAGCTCTGGTGCTTGGTTGCCTTGGTCAGAGACAACTTGCATGCTGGCCCCACACTCCACTGTCACCACAAGAAAAAAACCCAACTCTCTGGCCCTGCATTTGTGCTGTGGTGAACCCATGCTGTCCTGGACCCTCCGGAGCGGCGCGCAGCACAGAAACCATCTGTGTGGGTCACCCACGGATAGTCCAAAACTGAGCGATGGTATTTTATTTCAACGGGGAACGTTGAAATAAAATCTTTGCTCCATGCTGCAGATACATAGCTGGGTGGTGAATAAAAATGAAAAAAGAGGCATCAAGGAGGTGGGCAGAAGCACAAGAGGGACGTTGCAGGACTTGCCTCCCGGCTTCACAGGGCTTGCGTTGCTTTCCTTGCAGGATGCTCATCACCCTCATCAAATACAAGCCCCAGATCACACAGGAGCAGCTGACCTCCGTCACAGCAGCCTTTACTGCCATGAGGGAACAGTGCTGCAAAGAAGAAAACCCCGAGGCCTGTTTTGTGAAAGAGGTATCGTTTCTGTTCTCACCCGCACATGCTGAATCAAAACGGGAATGCAAGGGCATACATTTCTCCATTAAGCAGGAAACCCAAAGCCTGACTAGCCAGAATTCCTGCAGTTAGGTTTCCGAAGACAACCCCTGTTGCCTGCACCAGTAGACACGTGTACCGCCGGAGAACGTACCCACTTAGTCTTGTGGTTATGCGCAGCAATTTAGAGGTGCAGAGCTCAGCTGCCTCTGTCGCTTCTGGGGAGTCGCTGCTGGCACATGGGCGAAGGTCTTTCTCTGGCTAACAGGTCTTGACTGAATTTCTCTTGAGTTCCTCTGCAATAGGGAGAGAAAAGATACATTCAGATTTCAGGTCAAAACATTTTCCCTGTTTATTCTTCCCACCTCTGTTTTCCTCCTGTCTTTCCTAAGTTGCTTTAGCTCACTGAACATCATACTGCAGAGCTACTTTGGCTTCTCTTTACCCTCCAGTAAACCTGCTTTTGCCTACTTCTCATTTCTCTCTCCTCAATATATCCCTCAACTGAACTTTAACTAGCCCTCCAGAACCTTGAGCCTTGTGCTCCCTTTTCCTAAGTCTTTGCCTTACTTTGCTTTAAATGATGAAATACAGAAGATTCTCTTTCATTAATATGAAATTGCCACCTCTGAAGACACCCAAACAGCCTATCTGCAAAGAAGCATTCCACTACCTCTTCCTAGCAGAACTGTATCTCGGTGTTTTCCAGCCAACCCCAAACCTTCTAAAGCAATCTGAGCTGAGCAGGAAAGGCAAAGCCTGTATTGCACATGGCCATATCCGCACACGCGCTCTGCACATACCTTGTTCGTACACAACTTGCAAAGGTTATAAAACATTGCCTACTGCCACCATACGCGCTTAACTTGTCCAGAAAACCACCATCTTCCTGATGCTATTGCTCATATTCTGCTTTTCTTTCAGGGTCCAGTACTTATAAAAAGAAGTGAAAAAATGTTGTCAGCATAAAGAGCTTGCATGGCATGTTGGAAGATAGTTGCTGAATGACAGGAAGTCACACCAACTTACCAGTGAGCATCTCTCTTCTAAATGGTCATGAAGCATAAACAGGAACCTATGATCTTTCATAGTGTAGAAAACTATGTTGTGGCTCTTTACTCCCAAATCTAATGACGTCATGTCGGATTACACCAGCTACAGTTCTGCCACTGTCCGATCTGCCGCTCCGAACAGGGTAAAAGAGGTGCCTCAGAATGAAACATCAAACTTCTCCATAGAATCTGCCGAGCCGTGGAACCGCAGGCCCCGTCTGATGCAGAGCCCAGCTACCCTGACAATCGAACGTGTTTATCCGCTGTATTCCGAGGGGGGAAAAAACCTGCAAACTTCATCTCTGGTTCCTGTCACTTTGATTCAAAATGATCAAGGATATGTAAAATTTAAACCAAAGCAAGTAACTTAAAGCCAGTTGAAGTCTGGAGAGAGGGTGCGTCACCTTAAGGAAATCCACCGAAAAAATCCGTCAAATGGAGGGAAATTCAGGTTTTAGATGTGACCGCCATCTTGTGTTATGGAATATTATTTTACTTATACTAAATAGTCACAGATGCCAAAAAAAAAGGAAGGTGTTTAAAATCTTAAGCTTACGAAGCATAAACTAAAATGAGATCGTTAAGAAAATCTGGCTGTAATCACATCTAAATTATTTTTCGATCACCAAATAATTCTTTATCGTTTTTACAGCACTGTCCTTGAAATACAATACATGCATTCGCTAACAGGGGCTGCTCCAGCGGAGTTGTAAAGTTGCCCTTAAGCACAAAGATTATCTTGGGCATCCTGAGGAGGGTGTGAAAGAAGAAACAGGAGCAAAATGCCATGGAAAGGAGAGAAAATGAACTGCAGAAACACGTGCTCAGCACAGGCAAGGTTAGTGAAAGCGCTGGGAGGCTGCCAGATTTACACTCCAGGAGGTCTGACATACAAACAGATTTTGGAGTTTTATTTTCTTGTTACATTAAAAGAAACGCAAAGGCAGGTTAAAAATCGCAGTTAAATCGCAGTACTAAAAGAAATATTTTTTCTGGAAGCCTTTGGCTCAGAGGAAGAGACACCCAGGTACCCGATTATTTCGGTGGCTGTCCCTAGCAGTACTTACCTTAGGAGCATTTCAAAATATCTGCAGGAAAAAGAACAATTGCCCAAACAAACGTCCCATAAAATGCAAACCCAGCTTAAACTATTACCGTCAGAGAGGAGGCTTCAGTCAGACTGGAGAGGTCGACCAAATTGAGTCCCATCGGAATCTGTCTTGTGTATCCTCCTAGGCAATGTTTTCATTAAGGATATAAATAACAAGGAGAAAACCCATTAATTAGATATGTGGCTGACAGCAAAAGGGAGACACACTGTTGTAAATCCCTTAGCAACATTTTAAATGTCAAAATCATTCTTGGCAAATTAGAGAAATAGCCTAGAAAAAAACAGCTACGTTCCACGAGGACAAATTTAACCCCTGACATGGGTGTAATTAAGCTGCTGCAGCATTTCAGTACAGGAGAACTACTCGTTAGGGAGTTGTGTGGATAACAACGCAGTCATCACAAATCACAAGCTGACTAAGAGTCAGCTGCTAATTAAAGTCTAACGTCGTGCTTGTGTACCAGGGGCGTAAGCAGAACAACAGCTAAGACAGAAGAACAAGCCATGTAACACTTGGATCCTGGTTTCATTTCCCAGACCTCTGGTAAGGACTTGGCTGGAGCATTAGGACAAATCTGAGGTCCCTCACTTCAGAAAACATTTCACTGAAAAGAGAACAGCAGTAACTATCGACTGTCCATAAACACGAAAAGGAAAGCCAAAATAGACTGGGGTCACCTGGTTTAATAAGGAAGGCCGCAGGAACTTGGAAACCTTCACATACCCGAGAAGATTGATCCCAGGAGAAAAAGCAGCCAGTTGGTGCCTGGTAAGGGGAGCGAAGCACCTGGATGGACTGTTTAGGAGAGGAGGGGAGCTGTGGGCAACACTAAAATATTTCACTTTTTCACCCAAGTGTCAGTGGCTTTTTCAGTGCCAAACCAATGATTATATGGCCACCTTGGGCTTCTCTTAGTGCTCTGCTCTCTTAAGATTTTATGTTCTGACAGAGATCAGTCTTCTGGAATCGGGGTGGGTGATTTGCATTTTCAGCTTCTTATTTTTGAAATCCAATGATGACTTTGGGTTTTTCTTGGTAGTTCAAATTCATACTCTGATCGCTGCCTTTAGAGTTAAAAGCTCAGGCTCCAAATTCAAAAGCAACCCCCATTTCCTCTGTCATTTCTGTTTTCCGTTGCTGTGTTACCTTGAATATCCAACAATCCTTTGGAATAAATTCTTCCCCTGTTCTTGTCCGCATTTTCCTGCAACGACTCATTCAAACCGGCACAGCAACCACAAAGGACTAACACCACAGTGAAGTCTCACTTCTATTTCCCTAGTCCTTTAGACCCAGCAGACTCTAGATAATCTGTCCTGTGGTCCGTAGTTATTTTCCAGCATCCTTCAGTCCCAATTCTGCAGGACAAGTGAAATAGAAAGGGTTCAAGTATTTAACATCAGGTGGTGGCAAAAATGGCTCATTCTGGGAATTCTGTATATACAGAGGGCTGGAGAATCTACTTGAAAACACTTTTTCCACACGGTCTGTGCATTGGTTTCTTCTTTAACCTCAGACCAAGGAATTATGTATCCTTCATAATCCAATATTTTCATGCTGCACCTTCATACAACTACTCAAGCATTCTCCAAACTGGAACACGCACCAGAAATTGCCGACTCCACGTCGGAATGTTTCAGTGCTTTTTCCTGGTCTAAATGAGAAGCAGGTGCCGCAGCGTGGGCAGCGATCCCCGTAGCGCTTGCCAGTCTCTAATGAGCGCAGACCACCTTACTGCCCTGCTCATGAGCTCCAGCTACCAGAATATTGCTTTCCAAATGGTTTCTGATTTGCTCCTTATCGTAATTGAAGGAGAACAAAGCCAGAAATGCAGGCAGAGAGGTCTGTTCCTACTCCGACTCCAGCACCATTCCCATAGCGCTTTGCTACAGCCAGCTGGTGCTTGGAACACGCCTGGTCCCAGGGAACAAAACACCCCACCCAGGACACTGCTGGAACAGCCACTGCTGCTGGGGTTGGGATACAAACTCCACCGAAATCTGACCTCCCCTTGCACGAGCAACTTGTGATGTTCCAGCGGGAGTTTCACACCTCCTAAACCGTGGCTAACATCTCCGGATGGGTCCCTGAGGAAATCTCAGAGGCACTTGTGTGCATGCTTCTGCTCCTTCAAGGAACCTGTATTTGCACCTCTAAGGCATCTTGACTGCTGAAGTGTTGTTATTTCTCCCCTCCGCGCTCCCTTGGCCATGACTCTCTGCCTGGGCAGGATGATAATAGACTGTACGTTAAAATAAACCCCCTGTCCCAGCCCCAACAGCTTCAATTAGCACACGGAGCTTTCTTTTTAAATGACCATCCAAGCAACATCATCTCAGGCAGCGTGAAGTTTTTCACACTTGATTTATTCCACACGGTTTCTAGGCCACGTTTTCTGCATGTTGACTCCCTCCCTCTCACAGTGTTTGTCTCGTTACCTGCGTAAGCCAAAGGTAGCCGAAGCAAAACACAGATACCACTTACGAAAGACAAACTAATACAGGAGGGCAATTAATTGTGCACAAATTGGATTTTATTTACATCTCTGCAATCTGAGCTTTAATATTCAGCACGACTCAGCCAGACAGGACCCGACAGCTGGCTACTGTACAGTGCGCTGCGGCCAGACTGCACCGAACCTGGGGCTGTGGGAATGCTGCCAACCCAACCCCACCACGGCCGAGTTGTTCAGCCTCTCTCACTGAATCCTTCTCATTTCCATCTTCAAATACCAAACACAGGAAGTAACAGGGAACCATTTGTTTCAACAACAAAAAATGCTGAGGTGCCTTCCAGGACTCAGTCAAGCAGATGCAACAGTAATTAGTGAGCGTGCTTACTTCGCAGTTCATATTTCACGGCTAGATTCCCTCTTATGTTTAAGAGCTGAGTAGCTATCAAGTGGGAGGTTTCCACTGGTGTTTTTCTAACTGCAGCTCAAAGCTGAAGCAAGTTAGGCATCTGCCAATCTGAAGCCAGTGGGATTTCAGCTGGCGACTGCACAGGTGGTTTTTTCCTAAGTGAAAAGCCTGGCTGCAGCCTTAGCTGCATACATACCTTTTGCCACTTATCTCTACTGAAAAAGCTTCCTCCTAGGATAATCCAGCTTTTCTCTAATAGGAAAATCAAGTATATGGTTTTCCTTCTATTTCCTGTACAAGTAACATACTGGTTATTGCAATATTTTTCTAATATGCTAGACTTTTGCTTATGAGTAAAGGAGTAGGTTTTAAAGCCTTGTGCTTTACACAGGATTTCCTCTCCCTGTCTTAAGTTCCAAGCTAGATTCAGCATCTGTCTTTCTGGGGATCTAGTGCATCTTCCTGCGTGGTTCCCAACTTGTATTCCAGAGCTGTAGAGGAGCGGCTTCCGTTTCAGTTGCGCAACGACCAAGAGAAACTTCAGCACCGAACACCCCTGTGCTTTAAGTGCCCTTCGCTCACGGCCCATCCACGCAAGCATACTGACTTCCCTCCAGCCAAGGTGGTGCTGGGCTCTCTGCAAGAGGCCATCCGCGTCAAACAGTAGTCTCTGTTTTTTTAACAGTTCGACTGTGAAGGTGCTGGCATATCATACTCTTCTCCTTTAGGTACCTGAGATTGAGGAGGGAGGGAAATAAAAATGCCTTTGAGTAATACAGAATCTTGCAAAAAGTCAACCCAAATTCTAACGTGCTAGTTGAATGGCTGAAAAACGCTGTAACAAAATCTTTCCCGATAGCAAATGGCAATCGGTGTTTATTTTTTTTGTTTACATTTCCTGGCCACTTCAATTCAAAGTGATTATCAGCCCGTGGTTTAATAACAGATCCACAGCTGGCACAGCCACTGCTTTTGACCTCAGGACTCTCATATGTGTTCGGAAATACCGGGGCAGGTCTAACTTGTACCCGTGGTACATTTTGAGCTACCATCAGAAGAACTCATGCCATTGTCAGAAGTGAAGTTTTAAAGGGACGTGCAGTATTTGGCACTGACGTAGCTCAAACACTACGCTACCTAAACAGCGCCACAGTATGTACCACGTTTATACCTTCCAAGGAAATAAACAGCAGCAAGTAGAAACTGAGGAAACAGCCTAAGGCTCGGAAGACAAACAAAGTCAACAGAAATCACAGAATCATAGAATCACAGAATGGTTTGGGTTGGAAGGGACCTTAAAGACCATCTGGTTCCAACCCCCCTGCCATGGGCAGGGACACCTTCCACTAGACCAGGTTGCTCCAAGCCTCATCCAGCCTGGCCTTGAACACTTCCAGGGATGGGGCATCCACAACATCTCTGGGCAACCTGTTCCAGTTGAATCACCTTGAAGGTCCAATCACCTTGAAGGTCCAAATTTCCTGGAAAGATATCCCCATGTGTATGCAGTCAGTATTTACTCTGGAATCTTTAACAGCACAGCCTCTCTGGGTAAGCAGAATATAGAAGGGATTACAAATCCCACCAAGTTTCACTTAGGTAGCCACAGCGCAGTGTTCTAACTGCACTTGGCTACACAGACGCATTCACCTCCTAAGCCAACCCTTCACTATAAATATTCTCCTGGACTCAAAATGAGCTCACTCACTTGACTTCAACTTACCTTGCAATTGTCTGTTGTATCTCCTGTTCTTCTTCTTTGTTTATTCTGTGCAGAATCGATTCCAAAAAAGGAAGGTGAAACTGAATATACTGAGCAACCTATCAAGAAGATGACAAGAAATGCACATTAGCAACTGTGCTAATTGGGAAAAATACCTACCATGAGCAATTAGAACTGATGATATACGTACGTCGCTGCTGATCTCTTCCACATCCCTGTCCATGAGAAAAAACTTGGCAATCTTCTCCGAGGGCCCCTGCAAGAGCCTGTGCAGTAAGGGAACATCTCCACTCCTCAGCTGCTTCTTTTCTGGGGTTCACAGGAAACATCATGATGCACAGAACATACAACAGTGCCTCTAGGTACCCCATGCAGTCAGTGGGCTTTTTTTTTGAGAAAGATCGTACATTGGACTGATGTGGGATTATTAGTTACCTAAACAAGTCATAGATTCATAGAAAGAATCACAGAACGGTTTGGGTTGGAAGGGGCCTTAAAGACCATCCAGTTCCAACCCCCTGCCATGGGCAGGGACACCTTCCACTAGACCAGGTTGCTCCAAGCCTCATCCAGCCTGGCCTTGAACACTTCCAGGGATGGGGCATCCATGGCTTCTCCCGGCAACCTGTTCCAGTGCTTCACCACCCTCTCTGGGAAGAATTTCTTCCTGATTTCCAATCTAAATCTAGTCTCTTTTAAATTTAAAGCCATTACTCCCTGTCCTACCCCTTGTAAAAGGTCCCCCTCCATGTACTGGTCCCCCCACAGGCACTGTCGTCATCCCCTTCATGTACTGGAGGGCTGTTCTAATACATATTAACCTAATACATGCTAATAACTGTTTGCAGGAGGATGTGGCACTGTGCTTTTTCAAAGAAGTTGGTAGATGCAACACGAAGGATTTGCAATTTAGGAAGCCAAGGAAGCATTGAAGAGACTGCTCCCAGGCCCATCAGCTTGACCATGACTCCCTAAATCAAAATCTGCTTCAGAATTTTCAAATACCATTTCATCTCCATATTTTGACATTTCAGGTACTCTCTCCATCAGTTCTCTCTCCCATTCTTTCAGGTATTCCTTTTAATAAAGATCAAATTTGCTTTTCCCTGAAGAAATAGAGTAAGCTGTGTTGCAGAACTAAACATTTTCCACTGAAAAATTAGTACTTTTAACTAGGCATCTGCCCCCAGGATTGCCATCCAAAGCTGTCAAAATATCCCATGGCACTTCCAGCGGGACATGGCATCCCACTGTTGCAGCCTGGCTGTGCAGGGCAAAGGTTAGAGCAGCAAAGCATCTTCAACACACCCTCCGAGTACAGGAAAAGTGGAGACTTGTTCAGCTGAACCAACCATGCCGGTAGCATGCTGAAAGCCCCCAGAACACAATTCCTCAGGTTCTCCTCTCCATCAGAGGCCCACACATCTCTAAGGGGTCTTCAGGAAAGCCAGAATGCCACCCTGAGCCCACACTGTCCCAACAGGGACAGATGCCTGGGATGAGCCCTGTCACTCCGAGTTAAGCCATCCACACTTACCTCCGGACACGTGGATAATGTAAAGCGCAAATTCGTGTGGGCTATTTTCTATCTGTCAAACACAAACAAAACGAAGTCTGGTCAGAGTGACTGATTCACAGTCCCAGCATTTCACTGTCCACAGATATTCCCTGTGCTTCTCAACCCAGATGTTTAAACCAAAGCCTGAGACTGGGATCTCGCCTGTGGAAACGTTAAAACATGCTGGATTTGGAGAAGACAGAAAGCTATGTTGCCAGGTTTGTGGTTCCTGTGCCCCACCAACCTCACAACTGCTCACATTACCATATTGCCCAAATCAGTAACAGACCCTCTTAGACAACACCAGATCTCATTCCGTTGGAGCACCCGTAACTACTGCGTACAACTTTCCTCTCAGGTGACTGGTGTAGCTGCAAGGGTATCACCATTCGGGTAAAACCCTGTGATCCCTTCCTATCCACCTGCCTGCACGACCACATTCAGAAGATAGTCCTTGTGAACACCTATATTTCAACTTACTCTCTTCAACTTTAACCTGCTCTGTAATTCCATTCATTATGTTATTATTCATACAAGTCAACAAGTTAACTTCTCGTTTTAGTACTACACTGCCAAGTCCTACTGATGGCATGAAGTAATTCTCCAAGAGCAAAGCCTTACGACAAGTTAAATGGAGAATAATCAGAACTTGTACACTGAGAAGATATGTAGAACAAAGATATTGGAGAAACACACAGCACCAGCGGTAAATATATTTCTGATAGGGTATAAGCATGTTAATAGAAGATGGAACAAAAGAAACCCCAAATGGGAAAAAAAAAGTAAATTCAGACATCACGGGACTGATCTTGAGTCCTCCTCGTTTTACTCTGACTTTCTGAAGGTTCCTATGTGCCTGGATCTAACAGAAGGTGTATCCCAGGCGCTTGGGCTACAAGAGAATTGGCTTTTGTGTTAAGCAAGGTACAGTTAGTAGCGCCCATCACTAGAGGGAAGCGCAGCCATGTGCATTAAACCACCATCCTTCCTCCGTGCTGCGGAATGCCCAACCTGCAGCAGCGTTTTCCACCCTGGGGCACGAGTTTACAGAGAGGCAGTTCTGCAGTTCATCCTTCACTGCACACCGTACCCCTTTTGATATATTGATACACCTACACTGATACCTTTTCTAGACACAAATAGCCATGAAACACTTGTAAAATGCAACCACCCCGCTGCTTACAAATGGCCCGTGTGGTTTTTCTAAGCACGGTCCCTCCCGGTTACTTCCTGCCTTTCGCACAGCACTGGTGTGACCCGCTCCAGTTGCCATTTCTCTAAGACAGCAGCGCTTAGGTCGGCAAACACGCAGAGTTACCTTAAACTTCCCAAGCAATTGCTCTATGACTTCTCTTGTTCTCATCATTTCTCTATGACAGCAGTGCTTACTTCGGCAAACACACAGCAGCACTTACGTTGGCAAACACGCAGAGTTACCTTAAACTTCCCAAGCAATTGCTCTATGACTTCTCTTGTTCTCATCTGGCTGTTTATTCTTATTTTGGTTTCTGATCCAAAAGCTGGAGTGAAAACCGATGTCTAGGAACAAAAGCAGCGGGAAGAGGGCATGAGCATGAGGACTCTGGTGATCAATGCTGGATTCAAAGGGACATAACGCAGCCGAGCTCTGGGCCGAGCAAGCTGTCGGGGTGCTGCCACTGTGGCCACAGAGCAGAGGGCGGGCGGTGCCCTCAGGAGAGCACCCCTGGCAGGCAGGACCACTGTGGACCTCCCTGTGCAGTGGCCATGCGCACCTGAACCCCACCTTCTGGAGCAGACCCCGAAAACAGACCCCAGAATGCTCAGTGACACCAGCCTGGCCATGCTGGGGGCGGTGGGGAGTGCCCCTCTTGGCTAAGGTCTGGAAGCTTGCTGGACACTTTTATCCATCCAGCAGATGAAAGACAAACATTCCTACCTCATAGTTGTAGAAGTGGCCGTTAATCGAAAACCTGCGAGTTTCTACTTCCATCCTGGCTATCATGGGGAGCTTGGTCCTCTTGTGCGCAGCCGCAGCGTTGCTGACGGCCCTGGGCAGGGTGGCACAATCATGTTCCTGCTCGCTCTTGGACTTCAGAGCGCGGGTTTCGTAACACGAGTAACCTGGACAAAACGAAACCCGCATCAGCGTGTGGTACGGCTGCTCTGCCCGCCCCCGCGGCACCCCCACCCCCACGCGAAGAAGCTTCTTGGTGGAGGGATTTTTTTTTAATTATATTTGGGTGGCTGGGGGAAGTGGGAGAGGAGCAAGGCATAGGCACACGACGTGGAGCAATAGGCTGCTATTTTCACTTCTCGGGAATGATTTCTGTGGTGAAAGCACGAGCACTTAGCAGTAGCCACTTGAAAAGTATCCTGCACAAACCAGTCATATGTCAGTGTGCGTGCAACAGATGTTAAACAGAGGCAGAAAGATTCCCCTTTTGTGTCAGGGAAAGCCTAACATGTCAGATCATTTTGGCACAGTCACAGAACATTTTTTTAGTGAACATTAGAGCACCGACACTAACTTGTCTCAAGGTTTGGCTTTTCTTCAGTAGACTTCAATGTCTCTCCGCTAATATGATGCAGATCATCAAATTCTCCCCAGCGTGTCATTCCCCTGAAATACCAAACATAAAGTTGCTTACTCCTTGTTAACTCAGTGATTTCAATTTATCCTGTAGCCAGGCTTCACATAGTACATTCCTATCCCTGTTCAAAACCTCCTAGAACACGACTACAGACTTCCATGTGGCATATGAAGCCGGTAACATCCGTTTCTGTCCCAGTGAAATTAGTCAGTAAAGTGTGGTACAACTAAGGATCCCAAGTGTAACACAATCCCACTTAGACCCTG